TCCCTGAGTGCGGTTTCCTCTAGTGAACATCTACCACTAGAACTCATTTAGTTTCGTTTTCTTTGTGGGAAAGGAATGGGATTCTAAAATTCAAAAGAGAGCTTAGACTCAAGTAATGCATGTGGCAAAGAAAAATTTAGTTGTATAGGCAAAAATAAATGAATGTCTATAAGTGTATAATGCAATGTGATTTATAAAACGTTTACAATTTTTGATGAGAATAAAAAAACATAAATTTTCATGGGTTTTTAAAAAACCTCTTTTTTTAAATTAAAGGTCATTTCAATTACAAGGTTTACTAGCAAGGTTTACAAGGTTTTCTAGCATTTTAAATGTGATTTGTGATAAGCTTCTCAATATAGCAGACTCCATTAGTGTGAAAGGGGCGTGGCACTACAAGCCTTATCTGCAATGCCCATCCAAATAAAAATACAACCCGAAAGCAACACTATGCGTGCGCGGAAAAATCCATCATCCAGCCGTCCATCTGTCCGTCCACTTTCGGGCTGAGCTGAAATGTGGGGCGTCAGAAAGGGTTACGCCCAGATTTAGTCAAGGACCAACACCAACACATTCATGTGAATTACCAACAACACCGGAAGCGGCAGCGACAACAAAAATGGCGGCGCCGGAAACGGAAACGCAAGAGCGTGTTTGAGCAGAAGCCCATAATTTTGCATTAGCAGCTACCGAAAAAGCCAGAGAAACAGAAACATCAACTGAAACATCAAGTGAAACAGCAGCAGAGGAACAAACATTGACAGATAACAGACTGGAGCTCAGTCACATGTGAGCGCACGTGATAAGAATTCACAGGTGAAAACACGCGCATACAGGTATTAAATATGTTGAACATTGTTGGCAACTCACTCATCGAATAGGCATTAGAAGTCGAGAGGAGAATGTAGGGAAATGGTAAATTAGGGAATTAGCTGGAACAGCTTATGTAGTACATTTCAGCCAATTTCAAACTCACTCATCAAATAAACATTTGCGATTGCGGAGTGATTAATTTTAAAACCATGTCATTATTTATTCATTGAATTGTTTAGTAGTCAAAGTGTTTTTGAGTTTAATATAATAATAACAATTATCAAAATACTGATAATAATATATGTAGTTCAAATAATTTATTTTTCGGATGAGTGCTAATAATTTTATTAATGAGGTGCACTGTGTGTTAAGGTTATACAATATTAAACATTGCGATAACTTAGGAGTCTTCAATATGTATTTATACGCCATTCTTTGTTAACCTTAAACATACATATTACCTTTTGGTAAAAGGTCTTCAAGATTATTTTAAATACTAAAAGGAGAGTGAAACCCAGCTAAAAATGTCCGTCCTTGGTAGGCAAACCATCTTTCACCGTCGTCCTGCGTTCTAAGTATAATTAGTTTTGCACTAACTGGGGCGTAAAACGAAACTCAGACACATTACAGAACTGAACCTTCAGATCGAACCGAAGCCTTTGCCTGCCCAACAGAAAATCATTAAAAATATTTGCCAGCACGCGCTGAGCCGCCTCGTCATCCAATCAACCATCGACTTCTCGGCACCACCACCACCACCACCACCGCAACCTCAACTTCAACCACTACCATCCGCCGCCACCAAAATCGACACCACAGCCGCTGGCCATCCAGCTCCTGGCCATCGGAAAAAGGAGGTAGAGGCCTGAAAGGAGCACAATTTGGGGCATAAAAATTGTTGCTTACTTGGCAAAGATGTTTATCACACCGCCGGGTGGCTGGATAAAAAAAATGCGAGAAAGTCCTCCGAGTTCTTGAGCCAAAATTCTGTACATTGGACCAACACATTAATGGTAGTTCTAGTTACAAGACAAAAAAGGCTTATATCAACCACTTTAAACTGTCCTTCTATTGATAACGTGTATGTCTTTATTTAAACGTAATATGCTTTTAATATTTTTGTTACTAAATATGCTTTCTATTTTTTTTTTATACTTACAAATAGGAAGGATGCTTCAATACGTTATTAAACTTACTTAACCTTTTTTATTTTGCCTTTTTTTCAAATTAAAAAAAAAATTAACTTAAAATCTATTAGAACACGAAATCACGAATACATATGAAATTTTTACAAAAAATTTTACAATTTGTTTGATATTAAGGAGTATGTTAATTTTTAGTTTCCGCTTTATACTATACATTTTAATTTGGAAATAAAATGCGAATATTTTTAACGTGCAAATGGCATTGCAACTTTATATTTTTTTTGGGCACATCGTGAACCACAGTGCTGTGGCAACTGCGGTTGGCAATGTAAATATTTTGCCATTTGGGCTTTCTCTTGGATTAGTTTCATTTATTTCATCATTTGCGCGTCTCACTCAACGCATGCAGCGCCTTATCCTGCCGTGTTGATTTCCAAGTCCCTAGTCCCGAGTCCTGAGTCCTGTGTCCTGAATTCTGGGACTTGTGTCCTGTCTGGGCGAGAGTATTGCCGGGGTTCAGTGGTCGGTCGGCGGTCCGGTGGGGGGATAAGGATTTAATCAGGCCGCTGGGGACTGTAAAGCAACGTCGCCCGCTGCTAACACAGAAATGAAGGCGCTGCCCAGAAACATCACACAAAAGCAACAAAAAAAAGGGAACAGAAAACACACAGAGAACAGGAATTTTCTTAAGCGTAATGCGGCACAGAACAAATTTTTTGGACTAGATTTGGCACGAACATTAAAAATTTATAATCATTTATAAAATAATTATTCTTCTTATATACAAAATTCGGTAATTTTTTAATTTGTTTAAACAGCGCTACAAGCATAGCAAAGAAGGAAAATCATTTAAAAACTAGTTTTTGATCATCCCATTCAACAATTTAAATTACAACATATTTTCCCCAATTTAAAGCTGTAATAAAAAAGTAATCAAAATATAAAATACCATTGGGAAACCCAATACAATACAAGAAAGATTTGGTTTAAACATTATATTCTTTATAATTTATAGCTTAAAAAATAAAAATTATCTTGGATCTCTTTCATATCGCTTTATAATTTTTGAAATTCATAGAACTTAAAAAACACCTATTTTTCAGTTCATTTGTTTTTAAATAAACTTTTATTAAACTTTTCTCTAAGTGCAATCACTGCTGTCGAAATGATGACGATGACGAGGTCCGCCCGCCAAAAGGAAAATGTTAGGGGGATTGGCCTCGTCGCTTTTTGATTTTTCCTTTGCACTCTGCTCTCTTTTCTGCGCTTTTATTATTCGTTACAAGTGTGTGAAGTTGTAATTTAAGTGTGTGAGGGGGAGGTGCCGCTGACACGCCCACCACCCATTAAAGGCGGCCCTCAAATGCCGCTAGAGGGGACATTGATTTTCCTCACTCTCTCTATTATGTTCCCACTCGAACATGCCTTCAAAGCAAATTCCAGCTATCCACAGCAATCAGTTTCAGTTGCGTCTTGATTTTTGCTTTTGATTTCATCGGGATTAGTTGGCAAAAAGGGGGTTCGTCTGATGCCATCCCATATCCAGCTGACATTGACGAGTGTCAGGCACATGTCCTCCGCCACATACTGACTTGGCTTAAGCGTGGACGCAGCTGGACATCGAGTGGCCAAATCGGAAGTGGAAGTGGGCGGAGGAGCAGGGCGCGGGACGCGGAGCTGCAGTGTGGACCACAGGTGAATGGGGAGGAGGGAGGAGGGAGGAGGAGGTCCTCCGGCTTTCTGCTCCTCCAATAGTTGGTGAAAAGTTTTCAGTTCGGCTTTAGGGTAACATTTTCCACACCACTTATTGAATAAGTCATGGGAATTTTTGTTATTTTCGGCTAGCTTCTTGTGTGACTTAGTGATGGTTTCCCTCGTGTGGTTTAATTTTTAAAATCAATTTTGTTAGCGAAAAAGTTTTGGAAAAATAAAGGGATAGGAAAACAATTTAGATAAAAGTGTCTTCTTCGATTACTTATTTGAAGTGAATTATAAATTTCAATACAATAAGAAAAGTGACCTTGTCTTAAATAAATGATGACTGAAAAGAGATTCATTTATAATAATAAACTTATAAAAAAATGTTATTGAGGAAACCTACTCAAGCAGGTTTTTGAGTTACTTCACTAAATTTACTTAGGAAAAATAAGGATTAAAAAATGTTTCTGAAAACCTCTTTTGTAATTTTTTTTTGCGCGCAAATTGTCATTAAATAATCTTGACAAAAAAATTCTGCCTGATTTTGGGTACATTGTGTCATGTACTTTTGTATGACATGTTTTCATTCATTGTTATTTCCCACAAAACAAAGGACTGAGCTCCTAAATGGATTCATCACGTTGCAATAAAATTTAGAAATTCCTTGATAATGCGTTGATTGCATAGCGGAGCTAAACAACTCCTTTCCCCCTTTAAAGCATTTGCAAAAGCAATTGTAAAATGATTGCCGTTTGAATTATTGAACTGGAAACCTTCCTCCTTCGCAGAAAAAGGTGAAGGAACTTCGGCAAGTAGGGCAAAATATTTCGTAGACTTGCAGCATATGTAGGATTAAGTAATGATTGGCCAGTCAGGCGACCGAATCTCATTGGAACTTGCTGTGCCGGATGGCCTTGATCTGTAAGCAGGTTTAGTTTCCGCCAGGACAGGATGATTTTCCAGTTCGTTTGCAGGCTCTTATCCAAGGACTTTAAGCTCGACTGGAAGGGGTTCTGGTGCTGGTCGTGCTTCTATGCCAGTCAGCTGGTCCGGTGGTTGGCAATTATTTTTAGCCCATTGTGTGTATTTGCCTCCACGCGGACAACCAACTGTCTGGGTAGGCAGGTGAGTGTTTATTTTCGCCAATCAATATTCCACATACTCCCAATCGATACGGCACTTCACATGGCCGCAGGGCGCACGAGGCGTATGATTGATCTAATTGATAGCCAAGATTGATGGCGCAATCTCGGCAGGTGTGCGCTGTCTGAGTGTCTGCTGTCAACTGAGTGTGTGTGTATGTGTGTGTGTGTGGACAATAAATCTCAATTGCAATCGACTTACATGCATTGGATTTTCTCGGCTTCCAGCCTTTAGCTGTAACAGCAACAGTTGATTATAAACACCTGCATTAAACTTGAACTTTAACTTATAATGATTTGTTTTTTTATTATTAATTTTTCTTTGTAAGTTAAAAGGTTTATTTTTGGAGTTATGACCCCTACAGTTGTTCACTCGAAACCGCGATTTGTCACCGACAATTTATAAGCGGCCAGCGAGCGACAGAAAACGCGACTTGGCAGTCCAAAGGACGAGCGTGGACTGTGACACTGCGGCGGCTGACGCTGTCTATTATGGAGGCCAAAAGCAGGAGCAACATGGCCAGCAACAGCAGTTCGCATATAGCCACACGGCCAAGGCGGAGCAACTGTTGGTCGTGCGAATCCCGCTTACGATATTCGTACATCGGTTGCTTAACTTCGGCTTTCGTCGTTTTTCGTTTTTCATCCTTCGTCCTTGTTTTTCTTCCTGTGTCGTCGGCAGCTGTTTAACTATTTTTCGGTTAGTTTTTGCGCTGCGCTTGCATTTCAATGACAAATTGTTGCATCTCAGAAATGCCAAAAAAAAACTACCCTTCTACTCACCTGTGTTTCTGGCGTTTCAATCAATATTCCATTTCTCAAAACCTTTTGTTGGCCAACAAAAAAGAATTGTTTCAAGTGCTAGGTCCTCATGTTTTGAAGTTTAACGATTTACTTACTTTTCACCAGCTAAGCGGGCGGAAATACTTTTGCAATTCTGGGGCAGAAATATTTTTTTGTTTGTTTGTATGGGCGTTTTAAATTTATTGCACCACATTGAGCGTTACAGGAGCAGCAACAAAAACAGCATCAGCGGCAACTGATAGCGGAAAGTTTAATGGGAAATGTAAATGTTACGCCATTGTATGACATACGACAATAAAATGGAATGAAACAGAAACAATAAACCGATGGATGCCAGGCCCAGGATTCCTACACAGGTTGTTGGACCCATTTCCCCTCTCAACCGACCGACCACCTTCTTCATCTCTCTAATACACTGACAAAAACTCTAATTTGAGCTTAGAAAACTGCTCAATTGTACAGTTTTAAACAAAAAAAGGATAAACAACTCTGAGCTTTCAGTTTGAATGCAGCTTATAAATGAATTGGAACTTCCGAAATTGTATGTAGAGCCTATTAAATTTTAATCAAATATTCATTTGCTTAACACAAAACCAAAGCCATTTTTAAGAAAAAGAAGTCTATATTTATTACCATAAATAGTATTTGAGTCCCTTGCGTGCACTTTTAAAATGTATTTTTATTAATCACTAATTATTTAATACTAATTATTGTTTAAGCACCAAATTTTATAAGGCTAAACATTTTTAATCAATTTCAAATAACCAATATTCTTACCAATTAAAATGTTATATTTAAAAAATTACCTACGTTTTTTTTTTAGCTAAGAATTAATAAATCTACGAGCAGAGTACTTGATATTTCTTCCTGTTGAAACACATTCCTCTTCCTATTTCCCAAGTCTCCGTTTGGGTTTTTTTTTTGTTTGCTGTTATTTTTCTGCGGCTGTGGCCATAATTTACAATAACAACAACCCAGATGGGGGCGGACGTGGATCAGGGAGGCGTGGTAGCGGGAGGCAGATAGAGAAATGTGAAGCTGAAAATGAAAGAGTCGAACAATGTGGCTGGCCCGGGCTTGTGAGGATGTCGTTTTGCATTCGATGGATGAATATTGTGGGGGGGTGTTTTGGGGTGGACCGATAGCAATGCTACCGTTAGCAGTCTAAAACGACGAAGCCATCGAAATCGCGCCATGCAGTTCTTCTGACTCCAGAGTCAGATATTGTATTTCATGGCGTCTCGCTCGATATGTCACGGCTATGTGTGTTCACCTCCATATCTGTATGCTTGTGTGTGTGTTCCATAATTCAATTTCAGAGTAAGCCCATTCACAGTTTCAGCCATGGCCACCCATAACCACCCACTGCCACCCACCGCCACCCACCGCCACCCACAACCACCCCCACTATGCACATAAGGCATTGATCTGCCCTAGCAAAGCGCTTTATGTTTTATGCGTGTGGCTAAAAAGTTTAACGAGGCATAAACAAACAGAGGGCTATAGTCGTTGCCACTGCAGACTGAATGAACGAAAGTTGACCAAATGATATATGGTTCGCCCAGGGATATACAATTTTTGGTCGGGTCCCCCGGAAGTAGGATTAAAATCTTATAGTATATGACACAGAAATAGAATACATTTCTCTTTCACAGATTTATTAAACCGAATTAAATTTTACATAAAATCAAATTGAATTTACCTTGCACCCAAAATAAATCTCTCATGAATTTATAAAACGCTGCCGTAAATGAAGAAAAAATGGCAAAGTTTCTCAGGTCAAAATCAACATTGTTAAACCAATATTTGTTAAAGTATGGCAGGCGGCTTCCAAGCAATCTGTGAAATTGAGATGAAATTATAATTAGACGTTGAGTTATTAAACACGTAAATGTACGTAATTTAATGAATGACTCTCAGATTTGTCTACCAAGGAATTGGATATTAGCTACTAATTGGATGATTTGCAGTGTATTCTGATTAAATTAGGAGTTAAAATTGCTTAAATTTGTATGCAATCAAACGAAAGTGGGATAATTTGTTATTTCTTGTTTTTAATAGTTTGAAATTAAATATATTATATCTTAGTGTATAAAAATATTATATATTTTTAAAGTTTAAGTTCAATTTCTTTAAAGTTATCATAATTTTGTGAAATATTTAATTAAATCCTTCCATATATTGAATAAAATAAATTTAATTTTCCGTTTTTGAACAGATTTGACTTTTTAACTTGTATATAATTCGGTACAAAATAGCTTAAGAGGGCTGTTTAAATTCGCTATATTTTCCTAAATATTTTCCGTCTGACGTACAAATGTGTATCATTTTATTTTGCATAAAAGTCATCCTTATTTGAGAAGGAATGTAATGTTATGACATTGATTGTGAATTCTTGTGATGTGACTTTGGAACTGTTGGTGTCGCTTGCTAAAATTGGCTTATCCATAAACCAATTAACCAGGCAGACAGCGCCGTGTCACGGCCACATCCTTCTAACATAAGCCATATGTTCGTCACATGCAATTTCCAAAGCAATTAACCGGGACACTCCACCTGCCTGTTGGAACACCCATTGCACACCCGAATAGAAGGTCCCCCAAATGCCTGCAGCCTGTTGCTAGACTCTGCTAAAATGGGTGTGTGTGTGTGTGTGTGTGTGAGTGGCAACCAATTGAATTTGTCGCGCATCGAACAAACTTGGCAATTCAATCAACGTGCCAGTTGCTTTTACCAAACCCGGCCCCATTTTACCTGCTTTTTTGACCATGAACCTGACCATCGACCATTGAAAATCGGACATCAGCAGACATTGGACATCGAACAGAGGGAGTTGTCTTGCCTACATGACTTTTGGCCATCGTTTGTTGGTCGCTTTGCTAATTGAATTGCCCTGTTTGTCGCCTCTTTCAGCGGCAGTGTCAAAAATTACGCATACGCCCGGTTGGTGCGCATTAAGCCGTTGCGGCTAATGAAGCTTACGAGATTGACGGGCCAATTATGGGGATGATGGCATCGCCCATTGTTTTCCCTCGCAATTGAATTACATTGAAAACTTCGTTAGGCTCGTTAGCCAAACGCGATTTCCGTGATAAACACGAACGGCAACTTAAAATGCAATCAATGGCAGAAGACTTAATCTCAAATCAATTGATTTTTATTGGAACCCGGAAATGGTACTCATTTAGCACTTCATTGTATACATATATATGCATTTCACATATATGCACAGGGAAATAATAAAATTAATTACTAAACATTTTGAATTTATCTAAACGTCGACATTTATATTTAAACGATGTTTAAAATTTGAATTTTTTTAGCACATCACCTAATATATCTTAAATTTAAGAAAAAACTAAATTGTTTCTGTTTTATTATGAACAGGGGCTAAAATTTCATTAATATTTGACATTTAAACTTTTTTAAGCATTTTACTCAACAATTCTGAAAGCAAAGAAAAACATTTTTTTAGTTAAAGCGCTTTTTACTAAGATTGAAATATTTTTCTGCCGAATTTATCATGTGTACATTTCATACAGTCTGTTATTTATTTCCTATTATTTTTTATTCATAGTGTTTAATATGCGTTTTTAATCAAATGAAATCAGTAGATAGGTATAAGGATTTTTATAATCCCAGTATAAACTATACGTTATAGAGTTGGATTCAACATTTACCAAACGCACTGCGTATAAAAATAACTCTTCATTAAATAGGTATTTTCCTGGGCAATTCTTCACAGCACAAACACATATTTCTGCGAATCGGCACAGTTTGGGGCAACCGAGGGGGCTCTGGAATTTTTTCCTTTCGAAGGGCAACGGACTGCCTGAAGTAAATCCCGGCAGATTGGTTGCTCTGGTTACGCTTTATAATTTCCCAAGCTATTCTTGTTTTATTCTCTTTTTTTTTTTAATTGATGTTCAGTGCTGATTGGTTTTCTAGCAGCCATTCGAGGCGTCGGGATTAAGCCGAGTGCTTTCAATTTGCACAAATACAAATAAAAATAACAATGGAGCAGCAGCAGCACCCAAGAGCGTAGGTGGTCGGCACTGACAGTCCAAATTGAATGGCAATTTGACTTTATTGAAGTGCAGCAACTGGTTGGGTCTGTCAATGCAGGAACCGAGTATAATATTTCAGCTGACCGTGCAGCCAAAGAGCCAAACCAAATCTGAGCAAATACATTCATTGCGTTGCGAGTTTTTCCCTCTAAATTGTCGGAATTTGTCCTGCTCATAGGCGCCTGCGGCACGTACTCGTACTCTGCTGTTGGCCAACTTGTTAGCCTAAAGCAGCTACAGCCTTGTCATATTGAAAATATAATTAAAGTTTTTGACAGTTATCTCGGACTAACAATGAATGAATGTCCGTCTACTTGCGGCGTGATTAATGATGTCGCTTTGGAAAGCGGAAAAATAAAATATAATTATATCTGCAGTGTATTGGGGTTAGTTAAGTTACCCAAAAGCAGACTCGAACAGAATTATTTGATCATTTATGGTTGATTATGGTAATCACTTTGAACATGGTCAACCGCAAAACAGCGGGTCCGAAATTATTTGCCCTCAAATAGTGTCCATCAATTCGAATTCCGCCCATGTGCGAACGCTTAGTGCGGTTGTGGTTGCACTAAAATGAGACTGAAATATTTAACGAGCGC